CAGTTTAAAACAATATCCACTTATTGGCCTTTTCTGTAGATCATAAATCTAAGCAGGCTTGACTGGGTTCAACGCTTGGTTTCTCACAAAGCCTGTTAGTGTGGTCTGGACTGGGCTTTTCACTAGAGATTCTGAGGAAGAATCACTTCTAACTTTCAGGTTGTTGGCAGAATTTTGTTCCTTGAGGTTGTAAGATGAGGTCCCCATTTCCTTTTTTTTTTGAAACAGGGTCTCACTATGTAGTTGAGACTGACCTGGAACTCACTATGTAGCCCAGGCTGGTCTTGAACTCACAGTGATCCTCCTGCCTCAGCCTCACGAGTGCTGGGATTACAGGCATGTGCCACCACACCCAGCCCCATTTCCTTTTTGACTGCTGGATAAGGGGTCATTCTCAGCTGAGCCACTTTCTCGTACCCACTTATGGTCCTCTCCATCTTTAAGGTCAGCAATAGTGCATGAAATGCTTCATTTATTTACTGGGGTTTTTTGAGACAGGATCTTGTTATATGATTCAGGCTGGCCTTGCACTCACTATGTAGCCCAGACTGGCCTCAAATTTGTGGTGAGCCTCCTGCCTCAACCTCCAGGATTATAGGTGTTTGCCACTATGCTTGACTCTAAATGCTTTCTTAAAACCTCTGACTTCTTCTAATGCCACCAATTTGACAAATCTCTCTGCTTTTAAGGACTCATTCATATGATTAGATTAGATCCATGTACCATAATCTAAGTAACCAGTGCCATATAACCAGCAGGGTGGTAACAAACCCACATGTTTTGGGGATTAAAGCAGGGCATAAGGGATTATTTTTTATTTTGTGGTGCTGGAAATCAAATTTAGGGCCTTGCACATGCTAGGCAACCAGTTTTTGTTTTGTTTTCTTAGAAAGTCTTGCTATATTCAGGCTTACCTTGATCTTCCAACAGTTCTTCTGCCTCAGCCTTCCAAGTGCTGGGATTACAAGTATGCAACACCATGCACAGCTTCCTGTCTTTCTTTGAAGGATCATCTAAAAAATTCTGCCTATTGCTCAGTAGTGCAGCACCTGTCAGGCAAGCATGAAGCCCTGAGTTTGACTCCTGGTAACAACAAAAAATTCTGCCTGTCACAGCTTTTACTCAGATGAATGGGAATGGTCTTTTCTTTGGTACCAGGGATTGAACTCAAGACTCATCTTTGCCAGGCAGACCCTGTGCTGCTGAGCTACATTCCCTGGCCCCAATGATCTCTTTGGGAGGAAAACAAAAGATAGGTCTAGACTGCCCCTAACCAGTTACACCAATAAGAGAAGCCAAGCGTTTGATGTGAGAGTGACTTGTCAGTATGCCTGATATTCTACATCAGTGCCTTCTGCCTTTTCTAAAGTGACAACTTTGATCACAATACATAGATATTTACAGTGCCTTGAGGTAAATGCTCAAAAATAACTTTAAGGAATGCCTGAGGACTAAAAGATTGTCCCATGTTTTAGATTTTCCTGTCAGACTGAGAAGAACAAGGAGCATGTGTGAAAGTATGTTAGATAAGGCAAGGTATTTTGAGATATGGCTCAGTAAAGTTGTTTTACTGTTCAAAACTTAAGAGGACTAGGACAATATTCTTTATTCACCAGTGATATGCTACTCCTCCTCTTTTTATAATCCTTCATTTCATTTCTCTTAACTGAAGATAAGACAGAGCTGCCCTAGTTTTCTGGTTGTCAACTGCAGCTAAATCCTTAGTTTTTTCATTCTGATGATCTTGAGAAGGGCTCAAACTATAAAACCTTCCTGAAAGGGAGACTAGGGGAGGGATCATTACTGCTATTTCACATTTAGATGATTTATAAAGGACACTGTTTATTTCTATTAGGTTGGCACAGACCTGTCGACACTCCACCACTTGTGCCAAGGAAACATAATTGACTCTTAAAATAACTGAGTAAGAGAGAAGCAGGTCTTGATGCCTTCAGCATCCCTAGGTTCTCTCTTCAGACAGACTGAAATTTTTGAATGGTCAATTCCACTTTAAATGGTCAGTTCTCTTCTCTATGCCAACTAGAAAAAGGAGACATTACCTGTAAAATGGTTCTGAGATCCATTAAGAATGAAAAGTAGGGCTGGGATTTAGCTCAGTGGTGTTGCTGTCTATCTCACAAAAGCAAGGTCCTGAGTTCGATCCCTGGTACAAAAACAAAACAAAACTAAACAGAGAAAGCAAATTATAACCCACATACATTTAATTCTTTAAAGTTTTTTATTTTTTTGGTTTTTTGAGACAGGGTCTCACTATGTAGTTGAGACTGACCTGGAACTATGTAGCCCAGGCTGGTCTCGAACTCACAGCAATCCTGCTGCCTCAGCCTCCCGAGCGCTGGGATTACAGGTGCGCGCCACCATGCCTGGCTTTTTTTTTTTTTTAAATTTTGAGGCAGAGTTTCCCTTTGTAGTCCAGGCTGGCCTTGAACTTGGGGCAACCCTCCTGCCTCAGCCTCCCAAGTTCTAGGATTACAAGTGTGTGCTACCATGCCTGGTTTCATATATATTTAATTCTGATAGTACCGTCCTTTCCAAATACTCAAGCTACCTATGTGTACACTCTCATAATTCCTGGGCTGAGTGTCATTACCATTATTTAGTAGATGAGGAGGAATAGAGGTCCTAGAATTACTGGTAGTCACAACTGGCTAGCACTACAAAAGCAAAGTCCTTGTTTTCAACTCATGTGCTATTTTGAAGGATAAGCAGGAAGCTTTTATAACAAAAGTTGGTGAGATAATCAGGAAATTTACTCTTGAACCATTTCTCTAAAACAAAGTACTTCTTTAATCTAAGTTGTTGGCAACTTGGGTTGCCAATAAATGTCTCTTGGGGCCTGAAGCTCAGAGGATCCAAGTTCCCTTGACTCCTCTCAAATAAATTTGCTTCCAAGGTTTTTGCAGAACTATCTCATCATTCACCTCAGAGAATTAAAAAGAAAAAAAAAAAAAAAAAAAAAAAAGGGAGCCATCAAACATCACTCTCTCCAGGCACCAATAGTTAAGGGGTTGGCTCAACTCATTTCCAAAGAAATGAGTGACAGAAAACACATACCTGTGACTCAACAAGGGGATAGGGCAGCAGAGTCTGCCAGAGGATCAAATTCACATAATCAAAACAAAGGGAGGGCTATTGCTTATTTCCAAATAATGTAGATACTGCCATCAGCTAAAGAAAACAGAAATCAGGACCTGTTCTATGAGGTCCATACCCCAGAAGTTATTTGAGGAGAGTATAGCAATCTAGAAGCAAATTGTAGATATATATCTCTTTCAACACTTTATCACAGTATCAGACAGGCAAGGACTCATCTACTTATGGATTTTTAGTCAATGACTACACCAAAAGTGAAATCATTAAAGCTAGTGACATTGTCATTTCTAAATACTCAGTTATTTCAAGCTATGTAAGATAAAGCTCAAAGTTTATCTAGCTTTAGAAAATGTAAATTTACTCCATGATCCAAAGTTCCTCTTAAGGCATTTTTAAGGGAAGTTTTATTTTTGCTTACTTTGCCCATTGCTTTTTACTATTTCAACAGTCAGCAGAAATACCATGGTTGGGGAAGAGTCTCACAAAACCAAAATGTGGCAGTCAATCTTGTACCCTTAAAGAATAAAGCTTTAAGTACTAAAAAAAAAAAAAAAAAACCAAAAAAACCCCAAAACCAAAACCAATAAAAAACCCTTTACACTCTTGCCTCCAGGAAGTGACCGCAGCTATAGTTCTTTTTCCACAAGTAAATGCTGAGAGAATAATTCAGTCTCTCAAAATATTTTCTCAATTGTGAACAGAGAATGTATTGATTAAATAAAAAATAAGACTGGGGCTGGGGATTTGGCACAGTGGTTCTGCTGCCTGCCTTGCAAGCACAAGGGCCCAAGTTCAATCCCCGGTACCGCAAAAAAATAAATAAAATAAAAACAAACTTAGGGCCTTTCGCTTAAAAAAAAAAAAAAAGGACTAAACACTTGTTGAGACATATACTAGATATGTTTAGGGATACCAAGATGATTATGATAGTCCTTGCCTCAAGAGACAATTTGGAAGTGCCTACGTGCACACAAATATACAATTTATCATAAATTTTAAGTATTATAAAGGAGACAAGATGTTCTATATCCTTTTATAAGGGTTAATACTCATTTGACTGAGGGTAGTTGGAAATTAGAAGATAACTTTGTGGAGGAAGAGGTAGTTATTAAGTTAAGTCTAATAACAACAAAGTGAGTTTGAAAAATACAATGAGCAAAGATTCAGATAAAGAAAGCAGAGATGAGCAGAGAAAAGGCAAGGATGGACAATATGGGAAGGACAGGAGAGCTTTTGAAAAATGACTGCAGTTTTGAGAAAAAGTGTAGGAATGAGAAACCTAGTGACACATGCCTATAATCCCAGTATTGAAGAGGGTGATGCAGAATTGCCTGAGCTCATTTTTGAAGCCTTGCCAACATAGTGAGATCCTGTCAAAAACAAACAAAACCCGCCCCCCAAAACCCTGAGAAAATTTTTAATTGAGTTGGTAAATGACAAAACTAGTCTTACACTTGAGCATTCATCTAGCAGTGGTAGGTAGAAGCCACTAAAAAAAAAAAAAAAAAAAAAAAAAAAAAAAAAAAAAAAAAAAAAAAAAAAAAAAAAAAAAAAAGGTTCCTGCAGCAGATGAGATGAGTGACAAAGAGGGCTTGAGTCAAGCTGTGGCAGTGATAGTTAACAGGAAGCCTATTAATTATCATTTTAAGCCAATATTCTTTTAAGTTGCCAACCCCAATCCTTCACGGCAAGTTGCATACCATGCCTGGTGACAATTATTAAAAAGGAGTGCTATTTTGAAAATTCTCCTGAAATTGAGCATTAAGAATCAATGGGCCCAGCCAGTTCCACTGAGTTTAGAACTATCACCACCTTCAGGGCTTGTACTCTCACCAAGGTACTCAGCCAACTGTGGAACAGAAATGTACACAGGAGACTCAAAAAAACACCTTATTAATACAGTGTTTATTTATCTTCCCTCTGTCAAACCCTGAGCCAGTCACTTTCCCCGGGCAGCCTGGGGAAGTATATGGGAAGGAACATATAGGGCACAAGACACGGGAGAAAGAACTATGTGAGGTGGAGACGGCTCCTTCACATGGCGAAGAGGATGAGAAAGGCCACCATCAGGCAGAAGAGCCCCATGGCCTCTGAGAGGGCAAAGCCCAGAATGGCGTAGGAGAAGAGCTGCTGCTTCAGAGAAGGGTTCCTGGAAGAAAGGGAGGAGAAAAGACTGAATATGTAGTCTACATGAGGGAAAGGCCAAACATCTAAGATGGACCCAGGAAGAATTCTACAACTCTTTTCAAGCTCATATCAAGCAAGGAACTACTCAAGGTGATACCATTGTACCTCCATTCTTGCCACGATGCACCTAGGTCTCAACAGGGACTGAATGAGGGGGAAGAGACAATCTAAAATCCTACAACAGAGCCAGGTACAAACATTACCTTCTTCAGTGGATCATCCTTATCATCACCATAAATTAAAACTCTTTCGCCCTTGGACACTTAATTTCTAGGGCCTAAACAGGATGGAAGAGGCACCTAGAGTAGCAGGTTCTTTCTAGAGCAGTTTATCCCAAATTAGGAAGCATATATGGCAAACTGAATGGTGTAAGTGGGGAGTTTTCAATGCTTCTATAGTCACCCCTTCATTCTCAGGCAGTCTCTGGGGCACAGCCACAGGAACCCAGGGCTTTATGGACTCAATTAGAAAAACATTGTCACAGAGGTCAGGAGTCAGAGGGGCCAATTCCTTCTTTCATTTCAGAACAGTCAAAAGAGTTTTTTTGTTTTTGGTACTGGGGATCAACCTTGGGACCTTGAGCTTGCTTGAGTTAGGTGGCAGAACCGCTGAGCTAAATCCCCGACCCTCAAAAGATTTTTAAGATGCTAAAAACTGTTAAGTTCAAACCAAGCTTGGGCAATTTAGTGACTTGGTAAGATTTATCTCAAAATTAGAAAGGCTGAGGATGTAGCTCAGTACAAAGGCCCCTGTCATGCCTGCCTTGCAAGCACAAGGTCCTGAGTTTGATCCCCGGTACAGGAAAAAAACAAAAACAGAACAAAACAAAACAAAAAAAACCCAAAACTTAAAAATCGGTCCATGTGTTGTTATATCTGAGTCAAAATAGGACTCCAATTTTTTTTTTTTTTTTTTTTTTTTTTTTAAT